AAAATATAAAGAGCTCATGTTCGACATGCGATAAGTATGCTTTATGTAATATTTATTATTTAACGTTAAAAATCTTAATTTTCATTCAATTTTTCCATTAAAAAAAGACACTGAAGCTACTGATTCTCACTTTCTATGTAAGTTTCTATATACTATAAAAGGCTATGATGACTGAAAATGCACTTCAAAACCGAACACGTTGGAAATCGGTGACATACGAATATATGGATAGTATACATAAATATATATACGAGTATATGATTATCCATTTCTCGGTTTCAAATGAGGGGGTGTTTGAAATCTGAAAATTCTAACATGTTTTATTTCAGTTAAAAGTACTTTATAAAATTAAATTACTCCAGATCAGGCAACGCGCTAAAATTGTTAAAACCTACAACAAAAATGGTGATTCAAACGTGGCCGTATTTCGTGCTTTAGGAGGAGAATTGTGTACACATAATCGTCCTACTACAAAAGCAATTTTTAGAATTTGAAGAGACTCCATGGAATAAAGATATTTAAGGTCGGTTTGATCGTTCGACCACAGATATCGCTACTGTAGGTGAAAGTGTAGCCGAAGACCCGAATGTAACTGTTTATTGACATTTCAAAAGCCAAAACTTTTTGCCGCACATTCTGGTATATTTTTCAATTGCACTTACACCTGCTTCCATACAAAGTCCAGCTGATACCATAGCTGAAATTAGCTGACGATGACAGATATACCTCGCTGCTTGAACAAGTAGCAAAGGACGGCGATTTTTCGAACAAAATTTTTTCAGCCACAAATTGTCGCTTTTTGTGATTCGATAATTCTCAAATAGTAGAAGAGAGGTCATTGTACCAAAAAAATTTACTATCTGGTGCGCTCTTTGGTGCAGAAATGGGAGTGGAACTTACTTCTTTGGATACGCCGTTACTCTCAAAGTGATTTTAGAACAAAAGATCGTGTTTATGTGGATAAACCATTAACTCCTGAGCACCTGAAAGCCAAAATTCGTCAAGTTATGGTTCAGACACCGCTCAATATATGTCCAAAAGTGGTCGAAATTACCTAAAATTGATCGTACCGCGAGACGGTCATTTGAATACTGGTGTAGTGGCACATATTATATAAATCGTAGGTTCAGGCTTTATAATGATGAAAGAATTTCTTTAAAAAAACTTAGTTTTCTTTTATTTGCGATACCCCTTGCATGGATAAGCCTGTAACATGTGTACATTTGTATATACATATCCCAGCTTCTTAGCATACAAAGAAGTGTGTAGAGGAAAACGAAAAAGCGAAAAAAGTAAGCTATTTACTCTTGGGGAGTGGAATGTGATACTATCAATCCACATATAGATACATACGTGTATGTTAGTATACTTTTGTTGTCCCTACAGTGAAAAGTTAAACCAGTATGCTGAAATACTTAGCATAAACAGCGGTTCACTGGTAGCGGGAATAATAATAATATTTCGTGGTGGAGCCACGCTCTGTTCTTACAAAATATTACAGGCACTCTGCGAATGAGTTTCATTTTCTGATATGCTCTGTAGAAAGGCGCGGAATATCTCTACGATAGCCAAATGCTGAGCATTTGTCACTTAAGCTTGAGTGCTTAACGGTTTGAATCTGAATGCAGGCAAATTCATTCATTCATTCAACTGGTATTTAAGTGGTCTGAAGCTGATACTTTGATTAGACAATAGAAATCACTTAGTGCATCCTCAAGCTAAAGATACTGTTTGTACTCCTTAAAAATTATGAAATAATGACAAACAAGCAGTGAAAATGCAAACTAGATGGTTTTGTGTTAACTACTAGTATTTTTCCCAGCAGGGATTTCATACACGCGCATGTATTATCAACGCAGTTTGCCAAGAGCGTTGGGAACTCTGCGGCATCATATTTCTTTCCTCTCTCACTCAATGGTTCTTCTTGTCTTACAAACTTTAAATGGATTCTTAAAATCTCATTAAGCGACCCAATTGCATTTTATTTTGCCATAAACTGATTGAAACGATAGAAATGAGTGAATTATACGCGGAGAATATTAGTAAATTGCATTGAGAAAGAAACTTTAAGGAGTAGGTGTTGAAAAATATTTTTCATTATGCAAACTCAATGTGAGTATTATTTAAAAACTTCAGAAATTTATTATTGAGAAGTTAGAAATTAAAAGATTTAAAAGTTTTGCTTTTCATTTTTCAATACTCTTAACACAAAAGGCGGCTGCGGTAGCCGAGTGGTTAGCATTGCGACTGCTCTATTGTCATTAAATAATTCCTATAAACTAAGAATTTTTGCCAGTCAGGCTAGTTTGGCGCTTCTTAATTTTAGTAACTGATATATATATATTAATTTGGGAGATGTTTTTGTTATTAAGAACGGACTATTTAACATTATTTTTGCTGATATTACTTTTTCTTATCAATTTAATATAGATAACTGAATTGATATTTTTTTTTAGTATTTTCTCCATTTTGTGGTGTATTTTTTCGTGTTTCTTCTAGGAAATGTACTTAAGCTTCATAACAAAAGCACAATAGCGTTTTCTATTATTTTAAATATTGCTCTAACCCATGCTGATCCGAATAGTAGCACATACTTAGCTACAACAGTTATAGCTTACTGTAATTAATTTTAAAATAATAACAAATAATAATAACTGACATATGCATCAGCCTAACCTAGAAAAATGTCATTAGCACCTATTCATATATGAATACAATTACATCTAAGCCTATATGAATCTATGTAAATTTACAAAATGTCAAATATATTCATTACACATTTCATCTTACCCAATAAACAAAATGATTTCGTTTCGAATCTGAGGCGAGTTATTTTCTCCCATACAACAGAATTGAAATTCTCCTTAACGAACCAAATAATGCTAGAGAATTTTTATTTTTAATTTTTGCCGAATGTGATAGAGTGATCTTGATTTGAAAATAAATGAAATTCTCAAAGAAATTTATACGTACTAATTATTTTTACCATAAAAAAGGTAAAATAAAAAAAATATTAAATATATATGGTAAAAGTATGAATACACCCCAAAAATGAATTGAAGCTTGAATTGATGCCAAACAGGATACTGCTGAGTATTTGGTGATGAAGCTACCAAAGAGACTTTTGAAACCTTTTTACCGAACTCTTCTCTGATAAGCCACAAAATTTATGCACTGATGGAACTATACGATATATGTGTTTAAATATACGAGAAAAACTTAAAAATGTCTTAGATTGTAATGGTCAATGTACAGTTGATTAAAATTAAATTCTAATAATGCAAAATTTTCTTCAAAAATATACTAAAACTCTCGAAGATCTTTCTTATGTCCAATGTATATTCGAGAAATCAATTTACTGAAACGATGTTATTTACGTTTTAATGTTTAATGGTTGAACACTACATGGGATTATTATCTTCTTTAACGATTAAATCATTAGTATTTTTTTTATATATAAATATTAATATGCACACATCTAAAACATACATACAATAAGTAATAATAATGTTGAACTTGGCATACTAACGTAAGGCAGGTAACCGCAATATTTACTTTTTTTTGTAATCAAAAAGCATTAGTGTAATTAATACGTCAAAATTATATACCGAATAAATTATATTGTTAATAATTGTAGACTAACACATTTTTTTGTTTTTATAAAATATAATTGACATATTATAATTTTTGTTTGTTGCTTATCATTCTTTGTTGTTGATATTCGAAGTAGATTTATTTTTTGTTTTGTATTTTTCTATTAAAAGCTACCGCAACTAATCAACAAGTGTATACTGACTTTGTTCACTTAACGTGCGCGCCGATCGCATGATTGATAAAGTGCACAAAACAAGTGCGCCACTAAGTTATCGTTCAAATGTTGTCGTTATTATATATAAACGTGTGCCATTTAATGAAATTTGGGTCTTACCCGAGCTCATCTGTCTGTTCCTTTTTTTCTTTAAACTGTTCAGAGCGCAACCATACTTACAGTGGTGGAGAAAATAATGGAAACGTGATTTAAAATAAATTCGTACAGCAAAAATTTACTTTTATTCAGTTTAAACAAAATCCAGATATCTTTGTCAAGCACAGACTTTGGTCAAGACAAAATAAAAATACATATTTTTTCTCAGCAAAAAAAAATTACTTTAATTAATACAAATATATATTTGTTTCCATATATTTTAGAAAGGATGCCTTGTCTGAAAACCTGTTTGCATATACCATCATTTATGTCTGTCCCAGAGTGTGCACTGGTATTTAGGTCTGGCGATAAAAGCAGACACTTCCCAGCCGTTGCTTTAACTGTTTCTATGCCTGTTTAGAATCATTATCTAGTATATTGTCGCATTGTATTGAATTTGCGGAAGTGACACCTTGGCGGATTAAAAATCCGGGTCGTTCCCTTATAAAGACCCGAAAGCCGTGGGGATAATTAGAGTTTGACGCCTCTTACAACAGCCATGCTTTAATACGTGTAGCTCAAAGGGACTTTTAAGCTTTGCTGTTTTCGTGTAGATTGTCTAAGAGCTGACCAACATTGTTTGGTTCAAGAATTCTTAATAATATTTGTCTCATCGAACCATCGTACATTTTTTTTCCAATTCGAACGAAAATCAGTAGTTTGTCATATAATTTTTGGGGCTCGTCAGCAGTGCATTTGTAATTTGTTCTGGCTGAAAGATTCGATACATTTAAATTCTATTCAGTTTTCTACGTTTAATCAGACACCTTCTTTTCGGAGCATGTTTCCATATCTGCTATTTTACTTAAGTTCCGTATTACAGTGGTCTCATTCATGGAGTTTAACCAATTTTAATGTATTATTTTTGTAACAACAACAATTATAATAATTTATTACTTACTCATATTTACACTTTGAATTACATTGTTTCTATTATTTTTTCCAAAACTGTATGCTTACTATGTACGCATATAATTGTTACGGTATTTCGACTATGAATTGAGATGACTATGAATATGAATACTCAGTTCGATTGAACAATTCTGGTGGAGTAGTTGTATCTCATTCCGGTGTTAAGTTTTTGTTTTTTGTGATTTTGGTGAAATGCAATCTAGTGTCGGATTTATAGACAAGCTTCGATGGCGTTTAAAGTGAGTAATGAAGAAATTGATTTTATATGATTTTCTTAAACATTCAATAGTACATAACTATAAACTTTGCTTCGAAATTTTTGATTACGAGAAAGAGAGGAGAAAGCCCCAATTAACTTTATACCGATCTAATCTGTCGCGGTAGCCGAGTGGTTTGCAATGCGTACTGCCATTCGGAAGGATCGGGTTAAAATCCCCGTGCGGTCAATATCCAATTTTTATAGAAAATTATTTTAAGTAAAAAATTAAGTTAAATTTTTTGATTGCGCTCGCCCCTTGGCAGGGAATGTCAACCCCTCCGAGTGGATTTCTGACATGAAATAAAGCTACTCATAAGAAAACCATCAGCCGTTCGTAGGTTGCCTAATATAAACTGTAGGTCCCCCCTTTTTTGGAAAAATATTAAGACGCAAAACCAAAAATTGGAGGAGGAGCTCGGCTGAAAATCGCTTCAGTGGTTACAAACGGAACGCATTGATTGTGCTGAACTGAGTTTATTAGACTACCTTTTCTTCTCTCTTAATTTCTCAGAGATTTGCATGAAATTTGATGTGAGTGTTTGTCCAATTAAAATGATTAGTATATCTTGCGGAATGAAATCGAAATATTATATGTGATGTCATGCCACAATTTTCAAAACCAACAAAATCATGCAACTTGATAATTTGACAATCCAGTAATTACTTTTTTACTGCTTATAATAGCTCCGTTGTGAAAATTTGCGGTACAAAATTTTTTTTTTTTGACCAGAAATTATTATTTGCTGAAAATTGATTTTTAGCAAACATATATTGACTAATCCTATCTACATCCCCCAGCAATATATCGAGTTGCTACGTAGATTGAAGGTTCGGAAGTCAATTTTTGCCTAACCTTTATATATGAAGTGATATATAGAATAGATAGTATGATGTGGTCTGGCATTACCATGCTAAAGCACAACTTTCATCTGTTTTTCAGCTTGTTCTATGGAGCACTGAACGTTTGATTATTTCGTCAGGTTGTAGCAACTCGAAAACCAGTTTTCCACCAATTTGTGGAGAGTTAAGCCTAATATTAAATATATTCTAATTTATATATATTAAATAATAATTTATATTAATAGTCTGAATTGTGTTCATATGTAATCGTAAGGTGCTCAGTCAGCGCCTTCTAAATACAACTGCTTATCAGTAAATATGATATAAATAACAATACAGTAATTGATCAAATACATTGTATATTTATTGAAAATGCTAAAAGGCGATAAGCTGAATTGGCGTTGCTGATTAAACTCGTATGAACTCACACAAATACACATATATTACTTCCATTCCATTAAAAAGTGCATTAAATAAATAAATAGTTAGTGATAGTCTCTATAAAACACTCATATCTCCCAAAAATTTATAAAAACATTTGTTTGTAGAGGGTTATTCGTTCCGTGGTTTCAAAAGTACAGGGATGTATTTGGACATCAGTAAAACTCTGCTTTGTTTTAGTTAGAGTTGAGGCATTCTTGAAACGCGTTAAAATTGTTAGAATCTTAAGCTGACATTGTTGTTGGTGTTAATATTTGTTTCAAGATAGACAAAGTTATCTGTGACCTCGAAGCTATGACTATCTAAAGTGACATGGGCGCCGAGTTGCGAATGTTTGCTGTCGGAAGATATTTCGTTTTGCCCTCGTTTACTACCAGACCCATTTGCTTTGCTTCTTTATCGAGTCTGGAGAAAGCAAACTGTAGCGGTAATTCCCCATTCTGATGGAGCTTTTCTTGTTGTTTAACTTCACTTTACACAGCCGTATAAGTTTTGCGGGGATACCAAATTCAGACATAGCGGCGTAAAAGTAGCTCTTTTTCGTGCTATCGAAGGCTGGTTTAAAATCGACGAAAAGGTGGTTGGTGTCGATGCTCTTATCACGGATATTTTCCAAGATTTGTCAGCACTTTACCGCCATGTTTGAATAGCTCGGCCGATAGTCCGTAAGCTCCAACAGCTTTGATATTCTTTAGGCGGCCAATCGCTATTCGAACCTCGTCTTAGTCGGGTAGTTTGACATCTTTTCCATCCTCATCGTTTGAGATTGCGAATTCACCGCTTAGTGGGCTGAAGATTTGTTCCCTCTTTAAATTCAATATGCTCTGGGAATCCGTTTCTAGATTACCCCTTTGGGTTTGCTCCAGTCTTGAAACTTTTTTAAGCTGCCGGAATCTTATTATTTACTTGAAATTCGGCGCTATTAGGTTGTTTTTACTGAACATCATTTTCTAGTTGAGCAATGTTCATATTCATCGATCATGAATCATGAATCGTTTAAGTTAAGTTTTTTGATGATATGCGAGATGCTTTTGTTTCTTGAAAATGGACCAGAGATCTAGAAACTAGTTCGACTTATTATCAAAAACGTACATGGTTTGTATATAAGCATAAACCGTGTGTAGATTTGTACGCTTCGCATATTTATTATTCTGAGACTGTGGTCACAAGCTATTCTTATACCTTCAACGTGAGTGTGTATAAACATAGATCCGAACATAGATCGTGAAAGACTTTGAGCAGCGAAGAAGTGACCCACCCATACAAATGGGAAGTCAGACAAATATTAATTTGAAAATGAAATATAATAGAAAGCGTAATGTATTGCACAAGGTGATAGATTTAGGGGTTTTATCGTTCTTTGCAAAGCCAATGAGAATAAAAATTGCACAAAATGCAAGAAGCCACAACAACGCATAGTCGGGTATTTTAGAAGAAAATAAAGAAAATGTGATAAATATAATTGAAAAAAACCGACTTCTAGCACTCGACTTAGAATATTTTTAGAACTAATCAAATTAATTTTATATTGCAGTGTCCTTGGAAATAAATATACTCAATACCGTCTATCTACCTATGAGACTGCCATTGTCGAAACGGAGTATGGCAAAGTGAAGGGCCTGAAACGTAATACAATCTATGATGTACCGTATTATAGTTTTGAGGGTATACCCTTTGCTAAGCCCCCGGTGGGAGAGTTGCGCTTCAAAGCTCCGCAACGACCAGACCCCTGGGTTGGTGTACTTGATTGTCTCAATGCCAAGAATAGAGCTGTACAATTGCATATGATAACAAATAATGCGGAAGGATCAGAAGATTGTCTGTATTTGAATGTATATACAAAAGATGTGAGTAAAAACAAATTCAATATTCTGCGTTTCACATAAAAAAATAAAATTCTAATAATTTATATTTCTTATAATGATATAAAAGCCAAAATCTGATAAGCCACGTCCGGTCATGGTTTGGGTACACGGTGGCGGTTTTGTTGTAGGCGAAGCTAATCGCGATTGGTTTGGACCTGATTATTTTATGGAGAAAGACGTTATATTAGTTACCATTCAGTACCGCTTGGGTGTTTTTGGTAAGAAAATGATATTTTTTTTTAAATAAAATGAGGAAAATAAATATAGAATAAAGTGAAGTAATAAAAATAGAGTAAATAAAAAAAGCATAAGTAAAATGAAATAAGACAAAAGAAAGGTGATTAAATTAAAAATATCTTAAAATATAATAAAACATAGAACAATAAAATAAAATGAAATAAAAAAGCATGATTTAAATGAAAATCGGATTTATTTTTACAGGCTTCCTATCACTCAGCACGCCAGAGCTGAATGTACCCGGTAATGCTGGACTTAAAGATCAAGTGTTGGCACTGAAATGGATCAAAAGTAATATAGCTAATTTCGGTGGCGATCCAAATTGCATAACTGTATTTGGTGAAAGTGCTGGTGGTGCCGCAACGCATTATCTTAGTATTACAGAACAGACTAGAGGACTCTTTCATCGTGCAATTTTAATGTCAGGCACTGCAATAGCTCCTTGGGCATTGAACGACTTGGACGGAAATGCCTATTCTCTAGCTAAATTAGCAGGATATAGTGGTGTAAATGATGAGACAAAATTGTTAGAATATCTGAAGAATTGCAATGCAACCGATTTGGCTAAGTTAGAAATTCAAGTGTTGACCGTAGTAGAAATGAAAAGAAAAACTCTCTTCCCTTTTGGACCTTGCGTGGAGCCCTACGAAACACCTGAGTGTGTATTTGCCAAAAGTCCACGTGAACAAATGAAGACAGCATGGAGTAACTCAATACCGATTTTATCTGGTAACACTTCTGCGGAAGGATTATTAATGTTACCATGTAAGCGAAGGAAAAATGATTAAAGATTTCGCAATATTATACAAATAAATACACTTATTGAATTTTCAGTTATTAAGGCAATGCCTAGCGCACTGAAGGAATTGGAGACATGCCGCAACTTTGTGCCCTTTGAAATCATGGATGATGTGGATATTGTTGAAAATTCTAAAAAATTGAAAAAAATACATGCAGATAGTAGTGATTTATCAATTGACGAATGTATGGATGTAAGTATTTAAAAAAAAATATATAAAGTTTATTTTCTGTATTCAATACAACAAAAATATACTTACAGATCAATGCATATTATCTCTTCCATTTACCGCTATATCGTGTTCTTTTGTCCCGTTTAACATATGCTCCGAGCGCTCCTACATATCTATACCGCTTCGATTTCGACTCGGAAGTACTATCGTTTCCATATCGCATTTGGCGTTTGGGACGTGGTGTTAAGGGTGTTTCGCACGGTGATGAACTTAGCTACCTCTTTTCCACTGCAATTACATATCGTCAGCCGAAAGATAGTCCCGAGTATAAAACAATACAACGTATGATTGGAATTTGGACACAATTTGCCGCGACTGGAAATCCAAATGCCAAAGATTTGCAAGGCATGGAAAGAGTTGTTTGGGAACCAGTACGTGAATCTCAACCATCATACAAGTGTCTGAATATTGGTGAGAAATTGGAATTTATTGATTGGCCAGAAATGGAGAAGGTTAAAGTGTGGGCCAGCACATTTGACAAAAAGAAGGAGCTATTATTTTGAATATACTGCTCCTTTTCGACAGTATTCAATAAATGTTGAGAAATCTATATTTTATTTATCTTTTATAACTACTTAATAAGATATAAAGTAATTTTCTATATTTTTTTAAATGACAATTAAATTTTTTCAATAATAAAAAAAAACAGTCTCGCAAAAACCGCATTTCGTTTTCCAGAGGACAAATGCATACAAAATATTTTTTTAAATTTAGTTCTATTTTTATTATTTTTATTTATTTAATTTTTTTAATTTTATTTCGTTTTATTCTACCTTACGTTATTTCATTTCTTTAATTTAATGTAATTTTAATAAATTTCATTTTATTTTAATTTTGATTTATTTAATTTTTTGTTTGTTTAATTTAAGTTTACATTTTTTAATTTATTTAAAATAGATTTACTTAAAAATAATATTATTTAGTTTTCTTGTACATATATTATATTTTTTTATACTTCAATTTCATTTTGATTTAATTTATTTTTAATTTTATTATTTTATTTCTATTTTCTTTTAATTCATTTTGTTTTATTTTATATATTTTATTTTATTTGATTTTTTATTTGTTTTATTTAATTAATTTTTTTAATTTTGGTTTACCTTTTATTTTATTTAACAAAAAATTTACAAATATAATTTAATAGTTTTTTGTGCAAGATTTCTCATATTTAAGTACATGTTTACTGCATTCCCAAGTGCGTAAGGGAATTCCATGATTATGACCTTTTGTTACACATGTCGCTCTTACAGTATTCAACTTCAAATATGAATGGTGTAAAAATAATGCGCAACACAACCAAAAAGCAATTTCACTTTATGCGTTTTCTTTATCGTATTATATTTTGGATGAAATAAATATTAAAATGCCAAAAACACACATTAACTGTGTGAAAGTGTATGCGCGTTGCATGTTCAGCAGCACCAGCGGTCCATTAAATTCTTATTAACGCCTGCACTTAACATTCGAAATAAAGATAATAATAATGATAATAAACACACAATAATGAGCAATTTCTCGAAAAACAGCAAGAAGAGAATGTCAAAAAAGTGAATATTATGTTGATGGAGCTGAAGGAGTTGAAGGGTAAACAGACAAACGTCCTTCCCGGAACAGGATCAGAATAATTATGATAATTTTTACTTAGTAGAATTTGTTTCGAGTGATTGCGAAACACTGGATTTCAGTGGGTTTTTGAGTAGGGCTGATTATTTTGAGTTTTGTTTTAATTTTATTTTATTATTTTATTTTTACCAGTATTAAGTCATACTAAGGATTGTGTCAATCTTCATCAATAATCAAAAATTCTGAGCAAAAGTTTTGAAAGAATTGATATCAAATGCCCAATATTCTCATAAGTTTCCATTGGCATCGTCTCGTTATTTCCTTTCTTTATTTGCAGTTTTGCCTGTCTGGCTGACATATCAGCATGTGTGCATAAATAAAGAAACGAAAAGGAAGGGATCTATAACAAAACCACGCGACTGTTACCATTCAAAGACACGCGGCAAAAGGAGCGAATATATGTTACATTCGTGCGTACATCATGAGTACTACATATACAAGCGTGAGCATTCCCCAATGAGGAATCGTGATTGCGAATTCAAGTGATCGTTTGCATGTAGCATATGCATAAAATCATGGAAACCAACATTCAAATATTTATAAGAAATTAAAGAAAAAAGTCAGGTGGCTGAGCACACTTTAGTTCCATTAGCGGTATACGTGTATGCTTTAAACCGACCATATCCAGCATAGAAGCTGATGCAAGTACCTTTTCATATTCAGATAGCTCAGTAGGTAAACCGGTGGCTACCGTCACTGAGAGATTCGGGTTTAATATGTATGCTTATTGTGCTTGCTCGTCCGGTGTTGCACTCACGAATCGTATCGAGCTAATTGCTATGTTTATATACTCGTAGTCGTATAATTTTAATGACTAACTTAAAGAAATATTAAGAAGTACTTAATTTTAATAAAAACTGAGTGAATATAAATGAATAACATCATATATTTATTTTTAATAATTATTAATATGTAACTCCTTTAATTTTTGTTATTAACAATGAACATGAAAGATACTTGTCTGAAATTAGCATAATTAACACTTAAATTTGTATGTACATATATGAAAACCATTTTAATTTGTATATGCAAATTCTTAAACCATCTATATATCATACAATGAGAATTAAAATTGCATGCATACGGTCATATACGCTATATACTCTATATATATATATATATATATATAGTAGCTATAACTACCTGATATATGTAGATATATGTATGTATATTCACATTTGAGCTAGATAAGCGCGCATAGTTGGGAATAAATAGCTTTGCATTAAAGAAAATTGCATTGCTGTCATGCAATTGCGTGCACACTTGCCTCCTAAGAATACACACCCATGGGGCGATGATGCAACAAAAGTCAGGATAGCATTGCAATATGCTTTTACGCAGCTCTCAGTGAACAGCTGGAAACTGGCAAGTGTTGATAGTTTTGCTGTGTTCTTCTTCCATTTGCTTTTTTGTGAATGGGTCATTACCGTTGCTTTGAATAGCTGATGATGCGAGCGACAATAGCGAATTTGCAGTCAGTGATTGGCATAATAACAGGAAATGGATATGTGCGTATCTAACTATCTAATGCGTGTATATATATGTATATTTGTATACATTTATACATTGGTTATATATACATATAACATTAGAGCAAAATATCAACATGTCCTTATCGTAATTTTATGTACAAACTCGTAATTACTCGCTTACGGGATGCCGTGGTTGGTTTCGTCTCAAGGAGTTTCTAAAATTCGGCATTTCACTAATAATCATTAATTAATTTGAACACTTCAAAATATAAACTTTCAAAGCATTATTAGACAAACAAGCACACATGTAAGCCCTTCGAAAACTATCCGTCTACTAACTGTGATAAAATAAATTAAAATACATAAAATAAAATAAAATAATTTAAGATAACATTGACTAATAGAAAAGAATAAAAAAATTAATAAATTAAATCAAAATAAAATAAATTGGAAAAATATAAAACAGAATTGGAATAAATAAATAAATAAAAAAAAATAAAAATAAAATAAAATAAAATAAAATAAAATAAAATAAAATAAAATAAAATAAAATAAAATAAAAAAAAAATAAAAAAAATAAAATAAAATAAAATTAAAAAAATATTTCTTAGAAAACAAGTCCTCATTTAAAAGAAGTAAATTGAGCACTGAATTATTTTATTTAATAGTAGTAGTGGCTTACAGTTTAGCGTTGTAGCTGTTACTAATTTGGTGCGGTAACTGTGCCATTGAATTAGTTCATGGATTTAACATAGAGATGCATATTTCTGAGTCAAGTTAAAGATATACATCAAAATTAATACTCAATAAAGTGAGACGATTTCAGGCTTTATGTAGGCATATTCATTTCAATCAATTCATATCAAATGCTTGAAACTATCTCATACATGATTACATATTAAGCGCCGTTCATCAGCGAGTGTGTGGCTTAGAATCCTATTAACCAATAAAGCAGTCAATTGATTTGATTGGATTTTTGCATATTCAACCAAAATAAAGCTGCTATATCATAGATGCACTTGCAGGTGTATATGGTTATATAATTACGCATATATGTATGTGTTTCATGTAGGCAGAAAGTATGAATATGGCTACATAAGAGTTTGACCCATATCATGTGAAAGTATGCATTATTACTTATTTGCTTTTAGTCAAATATGTGAACGTGAGGGATTGATTTAAACCCAAAGTTTGTAAGACGCTGAGGAACTAACCACCGGAGGCTGAACTTCAGTCTTGTTAAAGTAGTACTTGTATTCCAAATGAGTGAAATAAGAGAAAACAACAAATACTAACTGCCTTAGTAAAGCGCATATGCACAAATCTATAGCCTAGCACCAATCCGAATATGAAACATTATTTTCAACGTTCTATCCAGAAGACAGCATTACCAAACACACAAAGGGAACTACTGAAGCTCTAATTGACAGGTTTTAAATATGGGTTAGTTAAGGTTAAGTTAAAGTGGATCCCAAATTAAATTTCCCAACTACAACTTTCTACAACTACCTCAGCAAATATTCTAAACAACCTTAAACCTTATAATTTGAATGCCAATATTTACAAATAGCAAGCGCCTCATAAGAATCGCAGAGCGTCTCTCCGACCTGTTCGATAGTAAACGATATATTACCGACATCATGGGCACCAACAAACATGCCCCTAGCTCTTTTTCATAAAAAACCGAAGCGATTGGGTATAGTAGAGAATAAAAAAAATAAGATATATCTCCAAACAGTCCGTCAGCGCATGCGCGTTTCGCCAACAAAAGCTACGTTGAATGAGTCGTATCTCGACGAACAAAAACAATGTTTCGCAGAAGCATTGGCTGGACGATATTTCGCGTGAGAAGTGTTAAACTCATTTAAATACTAAAAAACTTTGACAGAGAAAAGCATTTGAGCAGTTGAGCAACGAACGAGTATTGTTCGAGTATGAAGCTACTCGCACAGCTCGAAGCCCGGGTATCTAGATCTCTAAGTTGGATATAGAATTAGCAAATTTCATTTTGATGTGTAAGCTAATTGTTGTTCTAAAGAAGAAATATATTGCTGGGTGCATAGAGACTCTTCATAGAACATGCTTTAACAAAAGCGATTGTTTTAACTCATCCAAACTGGTAGTAAGCGACACAAGTGGCCCGCTCCTTTGAGAGTATTAACATGCCTCTTGCTAACAACCGATAGCTTCATTATCTAGCTTAATGAAATATTTCATCCGGCATTCTCATCATACTTCCATTGAAATGTCATCTATTTGAAAGCATCATTATTACATTTTTAATTATTCATTATTTTTTTAATAAGCAAAAAAAAAAAAAAAAAATGCGAATACAAAATAAAATATCGTGTATGTAAATATTTGTTTTAAATTCGGTACGCCTATTGCAACCAAAAAAAGAAATTACACAAAATAAGCACTTCGCTACATAAACTGAAACTTAAAGAAGTATGCCAACAAAGCTCGTCCAGCACTCAATTGAAGTGCATAACAGTCAATCAACGAACAGCCACTAATAACTCGTATCAAAGCTCTAAGCTCTAAGCTCTAATAACTGCCAATGCA